GCCTTAAGGCAGGTCTGGGTAAGGAGTTCACTGGGAGGCCTCAGACATGGGTTCTAATCCTGCCCAACTACGTGACCTTAGACAGGTCTCTTTATCTCTCATCTTCATTTTCTTCTCTGTTAAAGTGGAAGCAGGGGCCGGCCCAGTGGCGCAAGCGGTTAAGTGTGCGCACTCTGCTGCAGCGGCCCGGGGTTCGCAGGTTCGGATCCCAGCGCCGACACATGAACCGCTTGTCAGGCCATGCTGTGGCGGCGTCCCATGTAAAGTGGAGGAAGATGGGCACGGATGTCAGCCCAGGGTCAGTCTTCCTCAGCAAAAAAAAGAGGAGGATTGGCAGATGTTAGCTCAGGGCCGATCTTCCTCACACACAAAAATAAAGTGGAAGCGTCTCCAGGTGCACGTGGGGCGTAAACAAGATCCTATCTGAAGTGTCTCCTGAAGTGTCTCCTGAGAATGGCTGCTCACAAGCTCAGGTGGCTATTTATACTCGTGCGAGTTCAAGTGCGGTTATCACCAAGTTCAGTATTGAAGCAGAATTTGCAATTGTGCAACCTGCCTGTGTTGGGGGAATGTAAGGTTGGTCATTCCTGCAACACCTGACCCAGCATACGGTTGGACAGCCTAGGGACATTTTTCCGACCATCTAACAATACCCACATTTGAAGTCTTTTCCCAGCCAACCACAGAGCTCACCGTTTTGCATCAACAATTAGAACTCAAGCGGTTCTGGTGCTGATTCCCCACCTCCACCAGTGGAAGACCCCTAGACCAAGGAGGTTGGAGGAGAGTCAGACTGTGGGCAGTGAAGTCCAGCACACTTGGCTTTGACTATCCTGCACTAGAGGCGTAACCCTGAGCAAGGTAAGTTCTCTGAAGATCAGCTTTCCCTCCTAAGGACGAATGCAGATGCCTTTCGCGGTGAGGTCTGAGGGGCAACACACAGGGATTCTGAACATTATGGTTCATAGTGCCGGCCCCTCCCATCCAGAGCCCTGGCTGGCCAGCCCAGGCAGGAGTCTCGATTTCAATGGCTGAGGCCCTTCCTATACCAGAAGCAGACAGGCTTCCCTCTTCTTAGGCATGTTCTTTTTTCTTCACAGGACTAGCTACATAATTTGCAGGACTCACTGCAAAATGAAAACGCAGGACCCCTTGTTCAAAAATTAAGAATTTCAAGACAGCGACAGCAGAGCATGCAACCAAGTGTGAGCCCTTCGTGACAGCACAGGTAGCACGCCCACGAAGATAGCCCTGCTCCTTTAACTGGAGCAGCTGCTCCCACCTGGCTACACGTTAGAATCACCTGTAGAACTTTAGAAAGTACGGATGCCCAGGCCCCTCCCCCAGAGATAGATTCCAAATAACTAAGAGCTTCCCAGGTAGCTACAGTGGAGACCCCCCTGACTAGAGCGACAGAAAACCTTGGAAGTGTGCCATGGGCCCACATCCACAAAGGGCAGGCAGAGGTAGCCCCAGTAAAGCTCTGATAAAATAGAAATGCTCATGAATAGAACATCCTGGGTGTTCAGGAACCATGCCAGGTGTCTCCTAGACAAGCCAGCTGCAAGCTTCATGAGCCTGCATTACTGCGCAGGGGCAGAGAACACTCACGACCCAGCGTCTCCTTCCAGGTTTTAACTCGGACCGGCCATCATCTTGCATCCTTTATAAAAGTGAAGGTGTGTGACTAGCCAGGTAGCCAGGGGACGTGCGAAGTTTATGTGCACCCTTCCAGCAGTGTTAGTTGGGGGGGGGGGGCATGGCTTTCTTCTGTTCTGGTTGGAGCTTGAGTTGCCACCTTGGACCACATGAAGATACAGGGTGGGGTGAGAAGATAGAAGCCACGATCCCCAGTGTCATGAGGCCACAGCACTAGCTTCTTGGTTATTTCCCACCCCCCCCCAAATAAGACATGTGAGGACAGAGATAAGCCAACTTTTGTTTTAAACCAGTTGATTTTATCGTTAAGCCAAATGCCTGACATGACCCATTTCACAGACGAGCAGAGCAAAAATCTGAGGTAAAAATCTCTAGTCAGATGTCAGTCAGGTAGTGTCACCAGAGGCAGGGTTTTCTCACCTCCTTCCTCCTCAACCCCATTAACTTGTAACAAAAGGCTTCTTTTGGACTGTTCTGTCATCACTCTACTTGGATCAATTTATTACTCTAATACTTTTTCCTCTGAGACCCAGCCTAGCACTTGAAAAACACGGACTCTGGAGCTAAAACCCACCCCGTTTTAGGAAGTTGCATCAACTTCAGGCTTCAGTCTCTGCATCTGAACAAGCGGCAGGGACCCGCGTGAGGTGTGTGAGGAACCTCCTCAGGTGCAAATATGAAATGGTGCCAAAATCCCCCTGATCAAGGTAAATATTTTAATGCAATTTTCTAAAAACCAAATGTAATGCAAAAAAAATCCACAATGAACAAAATGTCAGAATTTTAAATAAAGACAGGACCCAACTCTGCACTTGCATGGCCCTGCCCTAACTCCCAGGCCAACTACGAACAAAACTTTACTTACAAAGCAGCTGACCTCTGGGCCATAGTTTGCCAGTTTAAAAAAAAAAATACTGCGTTTAAGTATTATTTCTTGGTTACTGGGTTTTTGGTGTCCCCGGCGAGTGCCTCACTTGCCTCCCCCCAGCTCCGGATGGCACCTGGGAGAAGTAAACGCGTGAATACAGGTCAAGCTCCTAATACAGTGCCTGGCTCAGAGCAAGGGCTCACATCACCATGGCAACAGGAATTGAGGCTCATCCTTGAAGAATTTAAGTGCAGGGAAAAACAAAAAATTCATGTTCCAGTGTTTAGAAGGCAGCAAGAAATGTTAAGTGGACAGCAAGAGGATGTCGCTTTGATTTCTGGACTCTTCGAAGATTTCACAGCAGATCTGAGTAAGGATCAAAAGGACCCCATTCTCCCCCCTGCCTACCTGGAACTCATCTTGTCTATTGCAGCAGCAGCAGCACCTTCCTTCAAGGGGCCCCAGGAAGTTCAGCATTCTTAATGTTTCTCCCCCGGTTTACCCGTGAACAGTTACCCTGCTGCTCACAGTCACTAGTCCAGCTCAGGGGTCAGCAAACTACGGCCCTCCAAATCACAGCCTGCTTCTTGTAAATCAAGTTTTATTGACACACAGCTATACCCATTCACCTATCCACTATCAACGGCAGAGCTGAGTGACTGCTATGACAACAGAGGTGAACCGAGTTGAGTGGTTTTGAGAGGGGGGCCAGCAAAGCCCAAAATATTTACTATCCGGCCCTTTACTGAAAAGGCCCGTCAACTCCCGGTCCGGGTGAAGTCAAACTGCAAACACACATTAGTCAATTTCCCCTTTCAGATCCATATTGACTCCGCAAACGGAGGTTGGTATAGAAACTTTGCCTTTCTAGTCTGCACCATGTCAGCACTCCCTTAGCCATTATGGCTGCTTCCCAATTTTATTTGGGGATTATTCATATATTTTAAGTCGCATCCCAGCAGAGTTGGCCAGTTCTCTCTTCCACTTCCTGAATTATTTTATCGAGTTTTATTGGAACACAGATACGTTCATTCCTTCTCTTACAGCTTTGTACTAAAGGTTGCTTTTGTACTAAAAACCACTGAGTTGAGTAGTCACAAGAGACCTTAGGGCCCCCCAATGCCTCAAATATTTACTATCTGGTCCAAAACTCTTTGCTGACCTCTGCGTTCTACTGGGAATCCCAATTTGCTACGTGATACCAGGGTGGATCTAAGACCCTTGATGTCCATACAGCTGTTGAGAAGATACCTTCTAGAAAGGTTGATCTCTTTCCTGTTTATCTGAAGAGCTATAACAGAAGTATGAGGAACGCTTATACGATTTTGATCTCTGGGTACCCACTTGAAAGGTTAACAACCTTCCGTTCCTAGAAAAGAAATGTAGATAAGACTCACGACAAACAGCAGAAAAGTGACAATAGAAGCTGTACAATGCACCAGCATTCAGTAACCAAACACTTTTCTGAACAATTGAAAATAGTTCCAAAGCAAAGAAAGGATTAATTCTAACATGGGTCTCTATCCTTTCCATCTTTTTGTCTAACATGGGTCTCTATCCTTTCCATCTTTTTGTCTTACAAAGAGATTCAACAGTACGTTCTCTCTCACCTGATGTCAAATTTGAATGGAATTAGATTTATTCAAACAAAATTCATAACAAAATAAGCTACATAACTCTTGCTATTTCCTAAGTGAAATATTCCTCTGTAATTTATAAAAGTTTTCACATCCTTTTTCTTAGTTTACCAACAATGGATCTATTTAATGTTTTAAAAGCACCGATTTTAGCTTGATGAGGACACACAAGAATATGTATTAAACAAAGACTGTATTTGAAGAAAAACACGGCAAAGTAGAACAAACAAGTTTGGATAAATTATATACCCTCTGGCATTCCGTAGGCTCCTAAGTTTCGGTCAAGTAAAATGTCCCTTTACAGGATGCTTGGATTTTCACTTGGTTCAGCAAACACCGAGTGCTTACTGCGATGAAAAAGACGCTCGTGTCAGGCTGTCCCATGCATCACATGTCCCAGAACCAAAGCCAGGGCCCATTGGGTCCCTAGCCTCTTCTTTAGGAATACAAGTATACCAATTTGAATTTCACAACGCACACAGGCTGAGCCAGCGTGAGCTTGATCTTTGGCGCCACCTACAGATCAAACTGCATTTCACTCCATTGTGGCACTGAGACATTGCGAAATCCTCTGCGCATTTATAATTAAATCACCCAACGGGGGATGGAGAACCCCACACCATAACCTGTCTATGGAAGAATGTAAAGAAAAATTGAGTGTTCTTCTTACATCCTTCTACAGACGAGTTTGCCTTTTTATTAAGACAACAGATAAGAGGAACCACACAAAAATGTATAAGGCGAACACTCTTATAACCACCACCCAGGTTAAGAGAACATTTCCAGCTACTCCCGACCCTCCACGTACCCCGTCCTCACCTTAAGGGGTAAGTTTTAGTTTTCCATGTGGTCTAGCTTAATAATTCCAGAGACAGATCAGTTTTAGAACTGGAATCCACTGTGAACAAGCTATCCCTATTGGATAGAGCGGTGCTCAAGGGACCCCCACCTTAGAACAACCGAGTCACCTTGCTTAGATGCTTCTTGCAAGGAAGACAGAAACGTGGAGAGATGTCTCCATCGCATTGCTTTGGCGTTGGTCCTCACGCCACGGTGACCGCAGCCACTGCCTCTGGAGGCCTAGAAAGTGGGGGCAGCCACCCCCAGAGCTGGTAACTCCTGTCTGGCTTCACGGCCTCACCTCGCAGGGCTGCGCAACAGCGCTGGGCCGAATTCCGGACAGCTGAGCACCCTCTCTGGCTGAACTAGAGGCACCGGCCGGGCTCTAGAGACGTCTCGAGCTGCCCGACGGAGACCAGGGTGCCGAGCTGCCCCGACGCGCTGCTCTCGGGCGGGAAGGTGACCAAGTCCGAGTTCTTGTTCTCACTCTGGTCACTGTGCTGCTTCTTATGGCATCGCAGCGAGTCGTCCCTGACAAAGGAGGCCCCGCAGGTCTCGCAGCGGAAGGCCCTCTGGGTCACTATCTTGGCCACGTGCTGGGAGCCGCTCTCTCGAGGCGCTTCTCCGCCCCGCGGAGCCCGGTTCTCCGTTTTGGCCTCGGCCCTGTGCACCTTGTCGATGTGCTTGCTCAGGCTGCTGGGCCGCTTCGTGTCGAAGCTGCAGAAGTCGCACTTGAAGGGACGGTCCTTGCAGTGGACCCTGCTGTGCACGCGCAGGGCGGCGGCGCTGGAGCAGGAGTAGCTGCACTCGGGGCACTTCTCCGGGTGGTCGGCCTGGTGCAGCCGGCTGTGCTCCAGGAGGTGCGCGCGGTCCCGGCCCTGGAAGGCGCAGTGCAGGCACTTGAAGGTGTGCTTGATGCGGACGTGCGACTTGAGGTTCGCCTTCATGGTGCAGCGCACGTCACAGAACTCGCACTTGAAAGGCTTCTCCCCCGAGTGCACGATCATGTGCCTTTTCAAGTCCGAGCTGATCTTGAACTTGGCGCTACAGAGCCAGCACTGGAAGGGGGTGTCCCCTAGCAACGGAAGGCGTGTTTCCGTTAGAGCAGGCAGGCAAAACAGAACTCCCCCAAACATGCGTGAGAACACCTGGCCGCCGAGAGTCGGTGGGTCTTCTAAACTCCAACGACCCGGACCCTCCTAATACCACCACTTACCATGTATATTAACTCACTTACTCTTCACAACAATCCTGGGAGTAGGCATTATTACCCCCATTTGACAGATAGGGTAACTGAGGCTCAGAGAGGTCATTTGACCTAGGTCAAAGAGCAAGGAATTGAACCCAGGCATCGTGGCATCTAAGTCCACACTCTTCACAGGGACACCTCAGTTTTGAATCTAAACTCTCCTTTAACTTGACATCCCAAAATTGAACATGAAAAATGGAAGAGGTGCTAAGACTTATAAACAAGCTTACTCGAGCATTTAAGCTATATTACATTGGTTAATTGGTTTGTATTACTGAAATTTCACTGTTTTACAAATATAGACTGAATTTTATTTATAAAATTAACACATGAACATGGCAACAGGGGACAAAGAATGAAAAGCCATAGCCTCCCCTGCATTCCCTGGAGGCACTAAGGGTTTTTGGTTCTTTTGGAGATTACTTGAATCATCGTCAGTGGAGCATAAGCCAAGATGCGAGTCTGACTCAGCCTACACACTCATCCTTTCCCTAACCTCCTCTGCATGCTGCTGGGTGGGATTTTTATTCTTCTAGCATTACCTTCTAAGCTGAGTAATGGCCTCAAAACTTTTAGTCCATCAGCTTGAGAGGTTTTTCGTGAATTCCATCCCTCTTCATCACACCACCTCTCCCCACTTGTCAGGAATAGCTTTATTTTTACATTTACGTTCAATAACATTCTGACCTGTGAATTCTCATGCTTTAACTAGTTGTTTTCAACTTTAGAATCAAACTACAATTCATACTATGACTGGGTATGTGATCTTCACCAGAGCCAAATACTGCACCAGGATTATGCCCGCTTCCTTACAGGGTCACTGTCACACCTGGGCCAGTTGACAGTGTTGCTAGCATCAAGGTCAAATTGCTTCTCTTAACATGCTCATTTTGGGCAACATTTTATCTCACTTCTTGACTGGACTGTGCATTTCTTGAGGAAAAAAATCTCACTATGAACTCAAGTCATCCAGTCTCTTAATTATGTAACTTTTTACATGGAATTTCTAGTAGATTTTCTGAACTTCTGATTTGGAGGTTTAGAGAAAAAATTCAATGTAAGTATCATCCTGCTGTTTCTCTTTACTGCAACCCAAGTTAGCCGTGTTCAGATAGTCACATATCAAATATCTCACCCTAAATTTTGTTTCATCCCTTGTTTTGCTAGTTTATCTTCTGGTACCTTCTGCCAGAATGGTGGCTGGGAGTAAAGGCTGAGTTCCTTGCATATCTTCATCTATTCTGCTTTCATTCTTGAGCTAGTGAGGCTGGGTATAGAATTCTGTGTTCCAAATCATTTCCCAACCTTGAGGGCACTATTCCATATTTCTGAGAAACCAATATTACTGAGCAGCCCTTCTAGGTGTGGATCTCTCCACTCCCTCTATCCAGCTTGGCATTGCGTGAGCCCTTTCACTCTCCTGGCCCCTTAGAATGGTGAACTTCTTTTTCTCATTTGATTTTTTCACTTCTATTTTCCTTTCTTCCTAGACCTAGCCAGAAACCAGACTTCTAGCTGCTGCTTCTCAGTTCTCCAACTCAAAGAAATTGCTCAGGGATGAGGAAAAAATTAACTTGATAGCCAGCAACCCACGTGTTAATTCATACCTCTTTGTTATCACTAGCTTTTCATGGAGCTCTTCTTGGACGCAACATTTCTGCCAGTGGGTAGATACCAGTTAGAGTTGAAAAACTCTATGACCCAAGTACTCTGTCAACTCCAGGATTAGTTTTTGTTAGACTTGGAGCATTTTATACTCATTTCCTGCAAGTTACTCATACTCCACAGTTGACAATTTATATTTAGGAAGAGTAGAATTGTTTAAGAATTAGACACAGGTGCCATGAGCTTTTACCTACTACTGGGTAGTTCAAGCCATTTTGCCAATAGGCTTCCGGTTCTGTTAAGCTCTGTGGCCTCAGCAGTCTACGTGCCAGTTCCCAGTCCAGAGCTCTCAGGGCAAGTCACACATTGGCTGGAAAGATTGGCTCCCAACTCTATGGCTGCCTCCCAAGTGTCTGCTGGGACAGTCTTCTTTACTCAATTTTAGATGTTGACATATTCCCATCTGCTTCCCCTCTTCCGTAAATTCACTGAAAAGTCATTTTATGAACCACCTGATGAGCCTCCCAATCCCCGTTATTCTGTGCTACGATGGGTTGGTTGGTTCGTTCTATCTATATCTATGGATTGTTATTTCAATGGGGTCTCACAAAGAAGGGAAGGGAGAGCTCTTTGCTAAAGCTAATTTCTAGAACTAGAAGTTTGTGATTTGCAGTTACATTCAACTGATTTTGCTACATGTTTCTGAATTAAGCCCCTCAAACAGAGTTTAAGTTCAATGACTGAAACACCTAGTTTATAGGTCAGACTTTTATTCAAGATACGTCCTTTGCTTTTTGACGGCTGTGTTGGGTCCTCATCTCAGCTGTATTCTGTGTAGCCAAAGTTAGAAAACCGAGCTGTCAAATTTTCACGTTTTACTGAAACTCTTGTCCTGGTGAATGAGAAACCACAAGGTTCACAATCACCACAGAAATTCCAGATTTCTCTACTTATACCACCAAGTCACTTAGGTTGCTTGGTTAACTCAAGTTTTAACTAAATGAAGGTTAAGAAATTAGAGAACAAGTGAGGCACGGAGGTTTCCAGGTCAGGGACTCACCTGTGTGGGATCGCAGGTGGACGGTGAGCTGGCTGGAGTTGCGGCTGGCGTAGGGGCAAAGCTGGCACTTGTACGGCCGCTCGTCAGAATGGATCCGCAGGTGCTTCTTGAGGCTGCTGCTGTCCACGGCGGCGTAGTCACACAGGTGACACTTGTGGGGCTTCACGCTGGTGTGGCACCGCATGTGCATGGTCAGGTTGTCCTTCCGGCTGAAGCACTTGTCACAGAACTCACACTTGTGCGGTTTGTCTCCTTCAAACACATAAGGAAGAGGAAGGGTTTCTCTATCAAGAGGACTACAAAGAGATTTGACCAAGATGGTAGCCTGGGCATATGGGCCTGCCTCTTCCTTCTGTCCAAATGCCCCGATGGGAAGATACTGAAGTCGAGATCAGCACATTGGGGAACAAGAAGGTGTATCATTAATTGATGGCTCAGAAATTTTGAAGAATCGTAAGGGACAGATTAGATAAAGTCATAGGGCAAACTCTGGGAAAATGGGAATGGTTCTAGAAGTATTCAAGATTGGAGGTGGCAGGTGTAGGGATCTTAGAACAGCTTTCTGGCTAACTAGTTGATGGACCGCATAGAGAACAGTCAGGTTGACCCCTTCCCTCACTTGTACCAAACTGCAAGCAGCAATGGCAACTACCCCCAGGCTATTAGGAAATGAGGATGATTGCACCAGAGAAATGATGCAAAGGCCCCAAATAGCTCGAGATACCCTGAAGGACGGAGAACCCCATGCCCAGAACATCTTCACCAAACAGTGTTCCATCCTCCCCCTACAACCACTCCAGACTGATCACATCCAAATAAAAATTAATCGACCCAATAACCAAATACTTGGAGAAAGCCAGAACCAGGAAGACACGCCCAACTCAAGAACTTGAAGTTATAGAAGCAAACAGTTTTCATTCATAATAATTTCTATTCTCCTATGATTGCCAAAACAAAACCTCCTGTAAGTCACTTGACTCACAGAAAGGATGTCAAAAATTGACTTAGAAGTAGAAGATGGAGCTAAACAATCTCCTAGAAGGCTGCCCAACAGGACAACAGGGAAAGGACAAGATAAGACATGAAAGCTAGTTCTAGATGGTCCAGGACAGAACAGAGAAAATAATTATTTCTCAACACTAAAGCAGCCATGGGTCTCAAGATGGCTTATCTAGAGGCAGGCTGGTGCAAGTTCAGAAGCCCAAGAATGATGAGATCTTAAAGCTTTCAGAAAGAAAAGTGCTCAGATCAGCACACAACTCCTCAGACAACACTGGAAACAATGATGGAAAAAATATCTGCCAAGTCCTATAGAAATTATTTAAATAGAATCCTATATTTGAACTAGCATTCAGTGGGAAGAGAAAATAAAGCCAATTGATAACTCAGGGTATCATGCTTGAACTGTGTACATCATGGAAAAAAAAGTGGATAAGATGGGGATATAAGTAATGAAATGGAAAATATTGCTTCCAAACCACAAGAGAGAACCAACCAGAAAAAAAAAAAAAAAGGCAACAGAACACAAAATAAGGTAAAAATCAAACTAAACGTAAGTACAACCAACATAAATGGATATTTCCCTGCTAAAATTTCAATTACATTTAAGAAAAGTCAGCTTAATGCTCTTACGATACCTAAATAAAAATGACAAGTAGAGAACGATTAAAAAAAAAAAAAAAGCCACTCTAGGAAAATGCTAAAAGCAAGCAGGAGTATCAATTTTAACATTTGGTAAAATAGAAATCATGGTGAAAGCCACTGAAAATTTCATATTGAAGAAGAGATAAAACTAACTAAGTAGATATGGATCAAACTTTTATGAATCTACCATGGTTTCACAAAGGTTTTTCAAAAAAAGCTTGAAAATTGTAGAACATATTTTAAGACAACTTGTTCAAGAATTAAAATTGGATTACAAACTCCCTAGAGATAGACAGTGAACGCTCTTTGCATCAAAACCTATAGCCTATAACAATTTTCAGAAGAATGTAGACTTAAGTTCATTTTTAAACAAAAGGCTGAAAATGAACCGTATGCAAATCGGGAAGCTGGAAGGAAGAAATGAAGATATACACCACTTGATCAACAAAAACAAAATGTGGTTGTTTAAAAGGGAGGTTTGCTCAAAGAGAGAAGATACCAATAGACCAGGGTTTTCAAGCTTGCCACTATTGCCATTTTGAGCCAGGTACTTCTTTGCTGAAGGCCGTCCTGTGCATTGTAGGATGTTTAGCAGCCTCCCTGGCCTCTACCCACTAGATGCCGTTTGCACCTCAAAAATGTCTTCAGATATTGCCAAATATCCCTGGGGGGGGGGCGGGGGGGGCAAAATTGTACTTGGTTGAGAACCATTCCAAACGACACTGGAAAAGAGAAAGAAGATAGAGACAGAGAAGATAAAGGAAGGGAAAGAAAGGTGGGCAAAGTCAATCATGATTAAGTAGAATTTTACCGGAATAAATTAAGAAGACTGGATAAAAAAAATGGATGATAGTCCAGGAAGATATAAAACTACCAAGTCTGAATCAAGGAAGAGAAAACGGATCAACAACAATTCTAAGAAAATGCTATGTCAGAGATGTACCCCAAGGTAAATTATTTACTGTTCAAGTATTTGCTGTCCTTCGCTGGAGAATTATGCTCCCAGTCGCAATAACTGCAGGCTGGGGCATGTGGTTGCTCTGCCCAAGGAAACATGATCGAAACTGATGAGTCACTGTTCGGCAAAAGCCTTTAAGAGCCAGTATGTGGTTTGCCACACTCCTTTCTCTTGCCCAAGAACCTGTAACATTCCAAATCAGTGGTTCTTAATTTGGGGCTGTGATCAACTTTGGGAGGTCCAAGACCTTGTATGGGAAACTTTTTTTTTTTGTCAGGGAGATTAGCCCTGAGCTAACATCTGTTGCCAGTCCTCCTCTTTGTGCTGAGGAAGATTGGCCCTGGGCTAACATCCGTGCCAATCTTCCTCTACTTTATATGTGGGATGCCTGCCACAGCATGGCTTGAATAAGCAGTGCGTCAGTCCACGCCTGGGATCTGAACCTGTGAACCCCAGGCCACCGAAGCAGAGCACGCAAACTCAACCACTACGCCACCAGGCGAGCCTCGGAAACGATTACATTTTTATTTCCACTACCTCTAACTGGAATTTAGCATTTCTTCCAGTTATGAACGCAGTCAACAAACCACACTAATAATGGTACCCGAGACCCCCATCAGCAGACGTGAGCCAGGTTCATACCATGTTACACTTGCTGCAGTTCTCAAAGTATCATTCATGCTCATCACTACTTCAGAATTAAGGTCACAGCAGACCAGCCACTAGATCCTAACATTAAATGCAGGGCTTCTCAGTGCTACTGTGCATACTAAGCACCTGGGGGTAAGGAGTGTCTTACCAAGATACAGGTTTTTTTCCAGCTTTGAGATATAATTGACATATAACATTGGGTAAGTTTAAGGTGTACCATGTGATGATTTAATACACACATTGAGATATGATTACCACAATGTTAGTTAACACCTCCATCACCTCAGATAATTGCTATTTTTTTGTAATGAGAATAAGATCTACTCTTAGCAACTTTCAAGCATATGATACAGTATTGGTATTGTTAACTAGTCACCACACTGTACGTTCGATCCCTAGAACTTATTCATCTTCCACCTGGAAGTTTGTACCCTTTGACCAACGTCCTCATTTTTCAAGCTCAACTCAAAGAGTAAAATGCACTTTCTGCTTCAGTGGGTCTGGGTGGGGCCTGAGGTGCTGCAATTCTAACAAGCTCCCAAGCCACGTTGACATTTCTAGTCTTCACCACACTTTGGGGAGTAAGGTTCAGTGTATTAAAACGCCACACATTTAACACTGATGGTGATTGTACTGAAATAGTTTTTTAATGTGATTTTATTACAGTTAAAAACGTTATCCTGGGAAGGGTCCATAAGCTTCAGAAAATTGCCAGGTCATGGCAGAAAAAAAGGCCAAGAATGCCTTTATCTGGAGAGAAGACGAGGCAGAGAACTTGGACAGACTCTGGGGGACACTGGGATGAGCAGAGCAGCCTTCAGTTGCCACTGAGATTGATATCGTTGTCACAGCCTCATCTACAGCCCCTCTCCGTCCTCTGAAAAAGCTCTTAAGCAGATGGAGTATTGTGGGCGTGCTCTATCAAATTTTCCAGGGAAAGTGTTTCCACATTCAATTAACTGTTTAATAGCACAGTGAAAGATAAAAAATGCCTCAACTCGCTTCACGATAGATTAACCCCTATATCACTGCCAAATGAATACAAAGGGGATGAAAAATACAAAGGTTATAAGTCAATCTCCTTTATGAGGCTAAATAAATGCCATGGGACCATCTTAAAAAGAGCAAAACGTTTAATATTCAGTCATCACTCTCAATTAAAAAAAAAAACCCCAAATCAAAAAAACCTCAAAACCAACCTCAGAAGTCTAGGAATAAGAAACTTTTTTTTAACGTGATAAATGATCTCTACAAGAATCCTAGGGACTCGAACCACAGATGATGGTGAAATCAGAGCATTCCATTCGAGCACGGGATAAGATATGGATGGTTCACTTTCACTTGTTACTCTCTTCAACTCCGACCAGCAGTGTCAAGTAGGAAGACAGGAGGAGGAAAACTCACTTGCCTACGATCGTTTACCTCGACAATCCAAAACGATCAACTTGAACTATTAGAATGAGAGGACAGCAAGGAGGCCTGGAGAGACAACTGAGTTCATTTTAAACCAGCTTTGCTACTATCCGCACTCTACCAAGTTTTTATGTCCCCCCTGCTCCCATGTCCCCAGTCCCAGTCTTTTCCCTAAAGACAATCCCATTCTCTCTCGGAATGGGGACGTGGGGAGGAAGGGCATGGAGACAATTAGAGGCCAGGCAATACATGGTGTTCTAGATTCACTATTTTAATACAGTACCTCACAGTATGTTTCATTTGCACTTGATTGCTTACGGGCTTTTCAAGTGAACACTGGCATTTCCGTTTCTTAGGTGATTGCCTATTCATATCCTTTTCCATTAGGGTTATTTGTAGGAATCCTTATGTGTTCTGAAGATTAATTCTGCCCCAGTTGCAAGTTTCTTCTTGTGCGACACTTGTCTTAATGGTGTCTTGTTATAAGTTTTAACTATAGTCCTATTTGTCTTCTTTGTGGTCTTTGCTAGTTGTTCGCCTGTCTTATACCATCAATTTGTCCTCCTACATTTCCTACCAAGTTATAGACTCTAATATTTAACATCTTTAGAATGTGTGAAGGACTTATTACCTGTGTTGTAATAGATTGCCAATTGTCCTAGCACCATATGTTCGAGTTCACCCACTCCTCCACTGAATTGAAATGCCATCTTTATCAGGTGTGGAATTTGCACACACACAGGTCAGTCTCTATCCTCTACTCTGCTCCATCTTCATTCCAGTCCTACTATCACACTGTTTGATTTATAGCTCTATTGTATTTTCATTTATGATGAAGCAAAAGGCCTTGTCCAAAGTTTTTGGGCTAGTTTTATGCCTTCTCTCTTCCAGATGAGTTTTACTATCTAGAAAGCAGGTGGGATGGTGGTTTGAAAGCAGAGGTGGCAGAAAAAAAAACCTCATCCTGTCATTGTAAGCTTCCAAACAATGATTTATTCACCTTTTACTGGAATGATTACAGATTTGAAGATAAAAGCAATATTGACTCAATGTGTAAAGAGAGAAAAACCGATGCTCTTTTTAAACCTTCTATCCAGAGTTACTAATGATGTTGATTTTTAAACTTTTATTGCTTAAGCTTTTACATGGGAAAAAATAGGAATAAAGCATTTTCTATCCTGCTCTTCCCAATTCTACTCCTCACTCCATTTCTATTGTGTATTTGAAAATCTCGTTTTTCATCCAGGACAAACGTATTTAAGGTACAGTCATGTGTTGCATAAGGACATTTCCGTCAGTGACAGACCACATATAGGACGGTGGTTCCATAAGATGAGTACCATATAGCCCAGGTGTGTAGTAGGCGGTCCCATCTAGGTTTGTGTAAGTACACTCTCTGGTGTTCGCACTACGACGAAACCACCTAACGATGCATTTCTCCGAACGTATCCCCATCGTTAAGCAACACATAACTGTATGTAAAAAACCCAACAGAACTTTAAAGGTAATAAAAATAAAGATCCAATCCAAGTTCAAGGCTTGATTTTCTAAGACTTCCCCAATGTGCTCATAGCCTAGCTTTCTAACTTACTCTCCCCAAATAAGCCCTCAGCAAGTCTGCAGTTTAGGCACACAGGTGCTCTGTTCTTAGCCGCTCCTGTACTTGTCAGACTTGACCTCCACGGGCCTCAAAGTGCGGTCTGAGTGCCTGGGGGGGGGGGGTCCTTGAGACTCTCCTGGTTGAGTCCACGGTCAAAAACATTTTCATACCACTACTAAAACATGATTTGCCTTCTCCATTGTTGACTTTTACACTGATGTAGGAGCAATGGTGGGCAGAACTGCTGGCCCCTTGGCTGGATCGCCAGCTCTCCCAACTGTCCTGATCTTCACTGTCATGCCCTCCCAGTGGAGACCGAGCCAGTCTCACTCAGGAATATGCTTGCAAGCAGTAAAAACTATTACTTTATTAAATCTCTCTCCCTGAACAAGCCTTTTTAATATTCTGTGTAATGAAATAGGAAGTATGCGTAAGGTTTCTGCTGCAAACCCAAACACACTGGTTGTCTTGAGCACAAGCCCTCAGAGGGTGGCTGCACCACAAACTAGGTGCTTTTTCCATGCAGCACCATCTTGACTTGAAGGTGACAAATTTTTTTTTCCCCCCCCAGATTTGGTATTTGGCAAATGTTCTTAAAAAATGAACCAAGTCAGTGTGTCATTTCAAGGAAGATTACCAACAATACCACAATGATAACATTCAGGCTCTAAAATGAGGATTTCAGAACATATATCTGCTACTCCAGGCTTGCAGCTTCCTAGTTCTTAGATTTTTCTGATGAGATTGGTAATGTTAGCAAGTGATTTTTTCCTGGTATGGTATAACAAAGTGGGTCAACATTTGGAATAATTACATAAGTTGGTATACCAGTATTATCCAAACGACCAATGCATAAGATGTCAACAATCAAGCATGTGTAAGTCATTCAAAGTGGAAAAGAGACCAATAGATTTTAATTTAACAGTTTGAAAAGTTTATGGATATGGTGGCAGAGTCAATATGCAACTAATCTTTAGGAAACTACCATTTGTGGTGTTTTGGTATATACTAAAGAAAAATAATTATCTGAAAATGGTATCAAAATACTCCTCCATTTCCCATCACAAATGTGAGAGGCCAGATTTTCTTCATACACTTCAACCAAAACATATGGCAATGAACCATAGGTACGAGAATCCAGCTCACTATTAAACAAGACATGAGATTTGCAAAGGTATAAACAATGCCACTTGTCACTTATTTTGGAAAAGTTATTTTATACAATGGGCTGTTATTTTTAAATGAATAAATATTTTAAAGTTTTGGTTTAATTTCTAATGCAGTAGTTGTAGATAAAACGAACAAAAACTCAGGGTCTTCAATATTTAAGTGTAGAAGGATCTCGAAACCGTGGTTCCCATTTGGCAAAGATCCAGCTTAAGCCTTAAATGGTCCCCTACACATCTGTTGCCATTCCTGCCTCCCACTTAGCCGGGGGTCAAGAGATGCCATTGGGCCTATGTATTATTTCTCCTTTTTCTTGGTATTAGAACCTTCTCTTTACAGCTGGGCAAATGGCCACACAGATTCAAGACTTCATTCTCCCAGCCTTCACTTCCACAGCTAAGAGTGGCCGTGTGACTAAGTTCTGGCTGAGTGGGCATGAACCCAAGTGATGTGTGTAACTTCTAGGATGTGCCTTTAAGGTGGCAGTAAGCCATCTCACATCCAACGTGAGCTACATCCTTGAGATGTCAAAGCATCAAAATAAAAGCCTGAGTCCCTGAAACCATGGGGCCAGCCACCATATTGAACTTGGACTGTCACAGGACAGAAATACTTTGCTTTTAAGCCACCATTAGTTGGATCTCACTATTCCACTAATCACAAGGGATACCACTTCCGGGTCATGCCCTAAAGGAGAGATGCTGTGAGCCCCCCAAGCCCCTCTCTTACTTTCTACTGGTTAAGAGATTCAGAGGACTAGAGCAGTTGCATTGACCCAGAAAAGTAGCCCAAGTAACATGTCTACTAGAGGAGCAATTGGCTGGCCCCACATCTGTACCCCAGAGTCAATGAATCTCACGAGAGACAGGGCCCTACCTTATACTCTGTATCCCCATCATGCTCTGTATTACTCCAATAAAACACTGCTCCAGCCCCTGCCTCACCTGGGTCCACCTTGGCACTGTTGACATTTGGGGCCTGATAATTCTTCGTTGTAGGGTCTGTCCCGTGCACTGTAGGGTTTTGGCGGCACCCTTGGCCCCCACCCACGAGATGGCTGGGACGGTGCTGCTGCCGAGAACCAGCGCTCCAGTCATCCTCAGGCCAGTCACCCACTTGGAAGATGCCTCGACCAGCCTTGCTGGTGGGGTCTTGTCTTTGTTCACATGGCTCCTGAAACCTGCACGCCCTCGCTGACATCCTGGCAGCCGCCTCTTTCAAGGTGAGGATCGACATTCCCTTCACTGAGGGACCCACCCTTCCCAGGCAAAATGGACCCTTTGTTCTCTTATTTCCACAGCAGGATGCCCATTTCCAGTCGAGACTACTAGTTGTCAGAAAGCTGTCCTCTTAATGACGGAGCTGTGGCATGTGGGAGCCCTTCCTGAAACCATTTCTCAGCCGCCCTTGAGGCTCGGCGTGGCCGTGACTAAGTTCCGCTCATATCCCACTAGTCATAGGGAGGCTTCTGGGGCAAGATCCGAGGGAGGGATGCTGTAAGCGCCTCCTCCTGCTTCCATACTCCACCGGTTAAGATTTTTGGAGTATTAGAGTAGCTGCCTCGGACCGGGGATGAAGCTGTATGTTGAGGATGACAGAGCCATTCTGCCACCTATGGACCACTTGCTTCTTACGTTGCACTTGAGAGAAATAAGTCTGATTATGTTTAAGCCACTTTGTTTGGTTTCTATAAGAGCCAACAGACCAGTATCCTAACTCACACCGGCTGGTATAGGGTCTACACTAGAGACCAAAGGCTGGCAAAGTTTTTGTGAAGAGTCATATAGTAAATATCTTATGCTTTGTGCACCATCGATACACCACTGTAGGGCCAAAGCAGCCACAGATGACAGGCACACAGGCGGGCATGACAATAGTCTGGATCTGGCCCTTGGGCCATAGTGGGCAGACCCTGGTTATAGGTCGTGACATTCCTCTGCTCCAGCACATCTCATTTCTCTGTATTCTTAGCAGCTGGTTGCTTTGAAGAAGGCACCTTTAAGAAGCAAACTTACTGCGCATCTCTAAGATTACTGAGGCCACAAGGCTGTTCCAGCCTGCTGTTCCCTCTACTTGCAATGCTTCCTTCTCTTCTGTCTGGTTACTTAGCCATCTTTCACACTCAAGTCAAGCGTCTTTAGAAAAGCCTTTTCTGACCAGCCTAGATCAAATCCCCTACCATAGGTTCTCCCAGCACTTTCTCTCCGGCCTCGGGACATTATCATTTCTGCCTTTGCGACTTTTTAGGTCACAGCCACCCCACTAGACTAAGTTTCATGAGGCAGAGACCATTTCTGTCCTGCTCACCACTATATGCCCAGCACTTATTTCATATCCATTTCTTTTTAAACACTAACGTTTTGAACTAATGAATGGATACCTACCTGTGTGGATTCGTAGATGGCGGTCCAAATCTTTCATGCCATGAACAGTTTTGAAGTGGCAACCTAGAAAAGAAAAAGCCCAGCTTTTCTTAATATAACCTCAGAGAGGAAGCTACTACGACCCTGAAGTTCTGGTGAGTCACACGCTGAGCTCCGATGTCACAGGTCGCTTAGGACCCACAGAGAACGCCGCTGCGTCGTGATCGTGTAAGAGCAACTGGAGGATCCAGCACGTGAACTCACGCACGCCTTGAGTAACAGTGCCTGGCGCGGAGAAGGGGGCGAGTGCATTCGAGCTTTCTGTACCTGGGTAGCAACAGTTGAAGGTCCTCTCCCCAAGGGTCGCCGTTTGTTCCTTCGACTCTGAGGGAAGAGTCATGACAGGGGCTCTCTGGGTGTTGTTGCCATCAGCAGAGGGACAAGTTGGTTTTGGAACCTCATTATCCAGTTCCGAAGCTGAAATTGAGACAAAAGTATCACTTCTCCAATATAACCACCATGGTACATCTTATAATACAGCAGGTCTGGGCTTATTTCACCTCCCTTGACCACCTCTCCAAAAACATTCAAAACAGAAAGCCACGTACACTCTGGTCTTACAAAAGTCCTCCAACTACCAATTCCCAGGAAATACAAGGGACCAAGGAACATGGTAACACAACAGGACACAACTGGCAGGATTCAGACGGCAAAACCTCGCCACAGCACTTCCCGAATGACATGGTGAAGACCTAATTTGTAAAATAATTTCCGATCCATCACAGGCCAATATTTTTATAAAATATAATAAACACACATTACAAGAAAAGTAAAATAAGACAAAAATAAAAGCCCAAACGTTATTATTAGATAATGACAGAAAGCTGGATGCCATAGCAATGTCAAGCTATTTTTAAATGTTTACTCTCGGTTTCTGAGCTTTTGTCTCAATTCAGTAACAGGCCACAGACCACACTTGAAGCCCCATTGCTCTCCAGGACAGAAGGCAGTGGTTTCAACAAATAACTTGAAGCTGGAGGAGGTCAAAACCAGAGATTAGAAGACCCGAGATGATGGTCTGCCACCTCAGGACCTTATTTGGATCCTGACTTAAACATACTGTACAAGCCACTTAAGACAGTGAGAAGTGTGAAGACCAATTCAAACTATGATGAGGGATGTTTTTTGGTGTGAAGATGAAATTCGAATTTTTTAAAAGCATTCTCGCATTCTAGGGATGGATATTTACAAGCTGTATAGATGTCTGATTTGCTTCAAAGTAATCCAGCAGGGGGAATAGTGGTAGAGAAGAAACAAGACTGGCTACATGTAATTAGTTCTTGAAGCCAAGCAATGGGTACGTGGGTGTTCAATGTATCATTCTCTCTACTTTCAGTCAAGTTGCACCATGTGAAACCGCGGTTTTTGTGGGCCAAAACGGCCAGATAGCAATTTCATATGGTTCAATCTAATATGTAGGCTTAAAAATTTCTATAACAAAGACTAAGTACTCTTAAAAGATTGTGAAGCCATTTCTCTCCAAGTAGATTTAAGTCCAAGGAAAAAAAGAGGTGCTGCCAATATCTGACGTTGGAAAAAAAGAAAAGAAAAGCTATTGAGCCAGACCTGACCACCTAGTGGTTCAAGTTCGGTGCCCTGTGCTTCAGTGGTCCAGGTTCAGTTCCCTGGTGAGGAACCACACCACTCGTCTGTCAGTAGCCATGCTGTGGTGGTGGCTCATGTATATTCTGGTTATAGGTCCTTCTAGTTCTACAACTATGTACTGGGGCTTTCAGGAGGAGGGGGGGGGAAAAAAAATCAAGTGCTTAAAGAAAAAGATCGACTAGTTTATAAATCACAGACCAAGGTCTGGGACTTCTTTTTTTTGCCCCCAGTATAGAAGGTGGATTCCATTTTCCTTGAGACACTTGTCCTGGTAAGCCTTCTCTTACCACAAGAAGCTATAGACCACACTGGTAAGGGTTCGGTTCTAGGCACAGGGTTTACTTAGCTGTGTGACTACTGGCAATTTCTTACCCTCTCTGAGCCTCAGTTCACTCATCTGTAAAAAGGGATCACTGACCTGCCTCCGAGTTGTCGAGTTGAGAGATGAACATGGTTCTCAGTACAGTGCTGGCCTGTGTCGAGTAAATGCTGTCACAGGACTTCAGTTAGAAAGGACTGTTGATATCACAGCCAAGTAGTTGTGGTGCTTGAAGCCTCTTAACAAGGTCTGAACAAATGACCTAGTTCTGTGGCTCTCAACTGGGGGTCATTTTGCCCCAGGGGACCTTTTCCATTGTCATGATCGTGTGCACACATGTATGTGATAGTGGCATTTAGTGGGTAGAGGACAGGGATGTTACTAAACATCCTATGCTGCACAGGACTGCCACCATACATATATCAGAATCACCAGAATGTGGGTTAACTGTAGCTTTCTGGGCCTCACCCCAGACTTAACTAGGGGCAGCGAGGGTTAGGGGCAGATCTCAGGACCCTGCATTTTTTGTGCATGTATGTGTGCGAGGAAGATTAACCCTGAGCTAACATCTGCCAATCCTCCTCTTTTTGCTGAGGAAGATTGGTCCTGGGCTAACATTCGTGCCCATCTTCCTCTACTTTATACGTGGGACGCCGCCACAGCATGGCTTGACAAGCGGTGTGTCGGTGCACGCCCGGGGTCCGAACCTGCGAACCCCGGGCCGCCGAAGCGGAGCGTGCGCACTTAACCACTACGCCACCGGCCAGCCCCAGGACCCTGCATTTTTAAAGCACTCCTCAAGTGATTCCCGCATAGGTCTCTGAGGCCCTGCTACCCAAAGGGTGGTCTCCCGAGCACTACCATCAGCATAAGCTGGGAGGTTGTTAGAAATGCAGAACCTCAGGTCCCAGGCCTCCAGAATCAACCTGCACTTTAACAAGATCCCCAGGCGATTCCTATGCACGTTACTCCCAGACAGCGCTTCTCAAACCTGTGCATCAGTATCACCTGGCGGGCTTGTTAAACACAGGTGGCTGGGGCTCCACCTCCAGAGTTCCTAAATCAGTGAAAGGCAGCTGGTAATTTTTCATTTCTAACAAGTTCCCAGCTGCTGCTGCTGCTGGTTTGGGGACTACACTTGGAGAACTTCTGCTCTTTAAGAAAGGAAACTGGCTCAGGGGGATGCTCAAGGTTGCAGGGCTAGAAGTTTTCAGCTGATTAGAACCCACACTTGCCAGATCTGAAGCCCATCACTATGCCCCTCAGAGGGAAAAAACAAAACCTTGCACTACTTAGCAATTCACATATTAAATAGGAAAACCATCAAACTCTTGAGGGTTTTTAATCCCACAGAAACCAAATAAGACAGAAAAGCTGAAATCTAAGAGAGAAGGTGTAAAGCACAGCGGTTTAGGGAACTGACTGGGAAGCCAGCTGGTGCATTTCAAATCCCAGTTCTGTCATTTTTAGCTGTGTGACCCTGGGTAAGTTACTCAACTTCCCTGTTCCTCAATTTTCATATCTGTAAAGTGAGGATTACAGCCCCTATCTCATAGGTTTAGATGAAAATTAGGTTCTTCAGCATACATAAAAGAACCTTGTACATAAGTCAGCACTACGTAAATGTTGGTTTATTCCTTGATGTGTACACACGTGAGCCCCCCCCACATCCTCACGGAGAGGGAAATGCATTATGCAATGCAAACCTGAAAATACGCATATGGGAGATTGATAGGTTAAAGCTATCAGAAAACCGAGGCCAACACTATAAAGGGTTAGAATGAGATGCAAAGGCTGAGGGGGCCCCAAAGAGACCACCTTCACCTTTGGACATCAGGGAAACCAACTAAGGTCAGAAGCCCACACCCTCTGGAGCAAGGTACAGCTGGGGCACAGACCCTTCTAGTCTGAAAGTGGGGGTGGGCCACATTTGACAATTAGAACCAAGTTTAGCACAGTGAGCATTTTAACCCTTTGAGAAAATGATATTTTTGTCAAGTTGTTTTTTTTTTTTTTTACTGGTGATTGAAATCTACCAATTAACCTGCTCCATTATATTTCCTCCAAAAACTACTCGAGTTGCAAAGCCATTTGCAAATTAAGAGTGGCCCAACCTAAAACAAAACAAAACAAAACAAAACAAAAAAGCCTCTTGCTCAGCATGACAGACCTAAAATGCAGGTGAAGACACATCAGTTGGATGCCTGCTTTTTCTCTGCGGGGGGCGGGGGGGGGTGTTGAGGCGCACACGGGTGCCTAATTCTGATTGCTTATACCCTGCTCCCACAGGGGAGCACCCCGAGTATCGCACACCACAGAACACCCTCCCCAACCCCTCCAAACACAGGGGCGGCTTCAGGAAGTGCCTTCGCAGCACTGTTCGCAGGAGCAAGCATCAGCCCGGCGACTTCACTTGGAACAGTAGCAGCCTGGGTTATTCAGGAATTATCTTTTATAATCGCTTCCCCCCAAAGATTCAACATCCCCAATAACTCCCCAATTCCTGTTACAGAGGCTCAGCAGGAGCCCAGCTCCCACCGCAGGAAGATCCTCCCCTTCCCACCTATCTATCCCCATTCTAGGCCTCGGGCACAACGGTATCTGGGTTACGGCAGCTCTATCCAGCCAAGCTTTAGTTTTCAATACCAACTATTAGTTTAGGAGTGGCTTCTTTAAGCTCCTCCCCTTCACCACCTCCTTGGTCAAAGCCCACCAGACCTACGCTGCTGGAGGTTTGAGACTTCTCGGAGAAGAGACCCGAGATCCCCCCCTGCCCCCTCTCCGCGCCAGGAAAATACAGGGAAGGGGGAGAAGCAAGTTCAGTTAGAACTCCTCTCCCCACCCCCTGGCTAAGAAAGTTTCAGCTAACCACAGGGGGAGGGGAGGAGGGTGGAGAGCGGGTGAAGTAGGAACCTACGTTGTCTTAATGTGAGTGCCAGATAATAGAAGGAGAAGCGCCTTAGAAATGCAGATTCCCCGACCCCACCCCACCCCCGGGATTCCAACGGGGCCGAGTACCTGAGGAATTGAGTGAGTAGCAAAGCTCTCTACCCGCAGGCTCTTCAGCAGCGGGGGGGCCCCAGGACCACAGGGTGAGAAATACCGCCCCGAGGGCTTAGGGTAGTCCAGGGCCTCTCCGCTTCGCCCGAGCCCCACCTGGCAGCCAGGCTGAGCCTGTTAAATCCGACCGTGGCACTGCGCCGCCCACCGCCCCCTCTCCCTGACGGCTCCGCTTCACTTACAGTAGAAGGCCAAGTCCTCACTGGAGCCCGCGGGGCGCCCGTCACCGCTCTGACCTCATCTGACTCCTCCCGGCTCCACCTCGCTGACACCCAGGCCTCTGCACTGGCCGTTCCCTCGGCCTGCAAGCCTCGCCTGCCGGCCATCTCCCCGGCTCACTCCCTCACAATCTCCAGGTTTTGCTCGACGCTGCCCTCCTCGGCGAGGCCTTCCCTGCACGACGCAGTTGAAAAGCCCCCTCCTCCCCACC